TTATTTTTAATAAATATTTTTTACTTTCAGAAACTATATTATTTTGGGAAGCAGGTATCAGAAATTTACATACCTTCTACCAAAGATGTCAGTAAAGTTACATTTGTTGACTTTCTTCGTCCTGCTGGCAATTTTAAGCCAATACGTTCCAATTGGTCACGCAGAGTTTGTCCACCATTTTTTGACTTAGCCCCGAAATATTGAAATAATTCAGAAAACATCGTTCAGGGAAAACATATATAAACAAAAGTTATAAAAAAGTATAGAAACAACAGTACAGCTATACATTTAGAAAATTAAAAGCAACAAAATTCGCCATCAACAATTCCATGTAGGGAATCGGAAAAATTGAAATTTATCGATCGAAAAGATTAATGTAACATATAGCATGAAATCCTAAAACCAACCTCCTCAATATTCCACCTAATAATGATGCATTCAGTGATTCTGGCGGTGAAAGCCTCCGGGCTAACTGCAAAAAATATGAGAAAATTACAAACTGTAATAAACTGAATAATAAAACCATAATTTCGCTCAAGTGTTGCTTGCATATAAAACATAGTTTATGAAAATAGCGATTTTAAAATTTTCATTTGCGATCTGTTAAGCATGCAGTAAATTTTTGTATGGAAAATGGTTGAATAGTAAAGAGCAGTTATTAAATGAGCCGTACGAATCACTCTCCGCTCAGTCTACTGAAGTGCATTGTAGGATTCATAGGATGCTTAAACTTTCATTAACAACGTTATCCAGTTTTTATTCATATTTTCACTATTAGCTGTTCCATGATTAAATGATGTTGCTGTGCATAATGCTGTTTCATGACCAATCACTGCAAAGCAATGTTGTAAAAATTACCACAAAATGGGAATGAGGTCATGAAGAAGCGAAAGAACGTTAAGAAGAAAGAATATTGCTTTCTAATAACAAAGAAAATTGTTTTCTAGTAAAATTTTGAAAATGAATATGCTACAGTAAGAAATTTTTAAAACTTCCAGAAAAAGTAGTAGAGATTTTGCCGTATAAAAAGCATATTTGCACGAAGATTCACCAGCTCTCTGTTCTCTCATTCTACAACTCTCTTCCCTCTTTCGCATCAGTGTAGTCAATAACACTGAAGGTTTTTACGCATGATGATTATTTCTTGTCAAAGTATGATCGTATTATTTATTAAAGAGCATAAGTGATTATAAAATTAATTGATATGAAGTGATTGTAAGACTAATTAAAGTCCAATAAACAAACCTCCGCAACGCTAACTTTATATTTGCTGGACGCACATAGTAGTGATAACCTCCCAGGTACTGAGCAGAATGTTTGCGATGATGTTGAAGGCGAAACATTCGTTAGTAAAACTAGTGAGCTAGATATCGAACCTAAATGAAGAACAAAATTGGAACTCTCCAAGAACTTCAGTTCCATTCTTCCACTTATGATCGATGCTTTAGTCGAAAAATATGTGAAAGTAGTTCTACAGCGTTATGGCATCATCTCCATGTCCTATTTCTGTATAAAATTACCCTATTAAGGCTATTTGATTGCCCTCTGCCATGTTGATAATAATTATTCCACGGCAAATGAAATTCCCTTATAAACTATAAAACTATAAAAAAGACCTTATATAGGCCAACATTTCATTTCAAATGAAAATTTCTAAAAAAATATCGGTAAGTTTAAACTCTCGATATGTACTTCTTAACTGATCTATTAAAACTGTTAAAACATTTACAATACAATATGAAAGGAAATCGTTCATTAAAAATTTACTAGGATCACCAAGATCTTCAGCGCATTCATCACCAGTTGATTCATTTGAACTCAGCGCTGCAGGGCTACCCTAAAATAATTCAATAGGAGCATAGTACTTCGCAAATTAATATATTTAAGACTTCATATGATATAGAAACTCTCATATTATGTAAATGAATATAATTTAGCAGTAGTAATTAGCAACGTCATCGACGAAGGAATTTTTGCTGTCTGCAAAACTTTCCCTAGTTTTTCTTTTGGGATGCCAAAAAAATTTTAAATTTTTGAATCTGAAGAATTTTTAGAAATTTCTACAAACGTGTAAAAACAACTTAAAAAGTTCTCAACCTAACCTATATAACTCCTCTAGCTGATAGTGAAATAAAATCAAGAAAATTACTAGCAGTTTAAATTTTATAATATTTCTCTTATATGTCATAGATTCAAAGGTCGGCAAAGTTCCGTTAAAGCAACCAAAAAAAACTTATATACATTTTATGGATAGAGGTCGATAATTCGAACAGATTTTAAAACTCGAAAAAGCAATAATTCTTGACTAATTTTAGAATATGCCCAATTACAAAAGATCATCTTAATTATTACATGGAAGCAAAATGTTTTAAAACGAATAACGGGAAACACGAAGTGTAGATAAGTAAAGAGCCACCCTAATCAGTTTATGCATACAGCAAAGAAGCAAAAAAAAAATTCCACCTGGACAATGAAATTCGTAGTCTTATCAAGTAGTATAAGATTGCTTTCATTCCTCACACTTTTACAATTATTCTGCGCAGACAAAACTGGTAACAAATTAAGCAGTGTTTCTTTAACCGTTCTTGCGCGTTTCGAGCAAATCATCGAATCATCGTCATCATATACTGGCGCCCTATCAGGCCGCTTTCTTTCCAGGCTTTTCTTCTCAAGCAGCAGCGTACCAATCCGATCAATCTGTGCACCCGCAATTTGTCGACCAAGCAAGGCTGTCCCATTGGATTGTTTATGAGATGATGGAAACATCATTCAGAGTCTATTCTGAAACCAAATCATGTGTTCATTATAAAACATTTGACCAAAACATTTTTTCATATGACAGAATCATATTATTTGGATGAAAAGATAACGATAACAATAGTTACTTACCACAAAAAAGGTAAAGCAGATCAGAACGATAAAGATTTTAATTACCATCACATGCATGCAGGAACTCTCAGCACAGATGCAATTCACTGAAAATGTTTAAATATATTAAATTCTAAAGAGAAAATGAAAAAATGCGATTTACTGGGGGAAATGAACTAAATAAAACCAATACTAAAATAAGAATTTCGAGAGAGCAAACTCCTAAATTCAGCAGCACAGATCAGATAAAGAATCTGCAGATTCAAAACTATTGCAGCGAGTCAAGATAGTCAAATATCATATTATAGTACTATTGGTAACAATTCGAACAATGTTAACGATTGGCAAAAAAACAAAATTATCGATCCAGGTGGATATAACTTTGACATTGTGATATATTAGAAGTAAGGAATAGGATGATGTCAAGTTGATTGAAAAAAAACATCCGTTCCATATTTTCACAACGGACTTTTGATCTCTATTTCAAATAAAACTTTGAAAGCAGCTGGTATTGTCTTGTACTATGCAAAACAACAAAATCGTAGATTGGATTTGAAAAACAAAAAAGATATAGAGTGATCGCCTGCATTGTTTTGTCAAAGTTTAGGAAAAAGTAAGGAATCAATTAATATGAAACTAGAAAAGCAACGCAATCTGGTATTATGGACAATGTGTGAGTAAACAATTCGTCTTTGGAAATACATGAAAGATTTAGTTCCACATAGTAAAAATAACTCAAGATCCTAAAATTCAATTGTTTTGATTGCTCATTTGGAAATGTACGAAATTTTTTTAAAATAGGAGCTTTAAGTGAATCATGCGAAATCAGAACAAATTAATTTATCCTAGTTAAAGGTCTGAATGACGAGAACAAAGCAAAAAAGAAACTAGAAGTATCTGAATAACAGTTCTGTTTGAAATTATAGAAGCCAAGAAAATACGCATATAAAAATAGGAGTTGCATAAATTTTAGTACAATAAATAATTCGATATTACCGAGAGACAATTACATGTTAAATACAGCTATTGTTGGACGGTCTAGTCTAAACTCTTGTAATCTTATGAGGAACTGTTTTATTCTATTTGAATAGAAATTTTAAATAAGATGATTTTTTGCTATGAGCTTACATCTATTTTCTCTATTCTATTTTAGAATAAATGGGGCAGAAAATGCATAAAAGAACGAAATTAGGGAAATTAAATTCAGTACAAATAAAATGGGAAGAAAAGAGTGGAAGAAATTAAGCAGAAATATGGAAGGAAAAAATGCAAAGCAATTAAGAAATCTGTATTGACTCATGCAAAACAGAAACATATTAAATTGGATTACGTGGTAATCTTTGCGTGCTTATTACATCCATTTCCACATATTTTCAGGGTTCAATACAAAAGGCAACCTGAATTGGCAGACTGATTGATTGACCTATTGATATTCATAAATTTAGAGTGATAAAAATTGAAGTTTGCATTTATTTGGAAGACGTATATAGGAAGTGGAGAAAAAATTTGTTATCACTGCTGAATGAAAAAAAAGTTCTGGATTGAGATGATCATCCGATCTGGGATGATATTCATGCAGTTAGGTTAGCAGAGAGTATCAGAGGGACGAATACAGTGTCTCCTGCACATATGCTAATTGTGCCGTCTTGATGCAGCACAGCAGGAGATACTGAGGCACAAGAGAAAGGCGGATGTACGCAGTAGTCTGGTGTGAAGAAACGCCCTTGGGACTCACAATTCAATTCATATTACTCACAAAAACATTCACACAGTCCCACTAAATTGCCATTGATCACTCATATAAATAACAATAATATTCGACAAATTTAACAAAACAACCAGTCCTGGTCCAGTTGTTAATTTCGCTTTATTCAGAAGTTTACCAAATTTCTTAAATCTGACAGGATACCATAAAATATGAGAATATTGTTGATAGTTATATTGCTTGCCAATCTTTTCATACAAATGTAATTTTCAAATCAGTCCACCGCCTCTTATATGAGCACAGTTTGATATGATTTTCGAATGGTTGTGTACTTTTGCTCGATCTGACAAAGTTCACGCTTATTTAAATCCAATCCAATTTCTAACTATTAATGCTTTTATCATATAAATTATTTTAGTGCTTAGTTAAGTTTTCATTTTCCAAATATTAAACATCGGAAATTCTCAGAAGAAGCGAAATATTACTGAACTTCTAAAGTTCAGTACAATGTCATTTTAACATTATTTTGATATCCATCAATTCGTAAAAAGATTTAAATTTGAAAAAATCATTCTAGGACTGCGGTTCTAATTGAGTCATGTTCACGGTCGTGACTCAAACAATTATTTGTCTATTCAGTTTTATCCAATCATTGGAAGGTTTCCAAAAACATTGAAAACCAAATCTTCGTATTACAATAAATTTGTCTTTTCATTTGATACATTTTTAACCTCCTAAAAATCCACTGTGGCCTGAGGAGAGAGATTAATAAAAATTCATTATAAAACATATATATAGAATATCAGACAAATGCTAGTCGGTTTTAAGGATGTCTGTTTAAGCGTGGATTCGAGAGGTTTAATTTTTCAAAAGCAGTCTTTTTGTTTGCTGCTTCCCGCATTATGTCTATGTAGAAGCGCTGGTCTGAACGGTTAAAGTTATAATCTTTCGTTTACCATTTTGCCTATTTTTCTTTGGTTCTTTTGATAGGGTGACTGTATGAAGACATATGATGTCAGGGATTACAATAGGATAAAACAGGGCTCTGCCAATAAAATTACGATTGAAATTAGATGATAAATCGATGATAAGATGATGAATGATACAGTGATAGGAAAAATGCAAGCAAGCCTCAGTATCGGTATCGGGTTCGTTTAGTAATACAAATACAAAAATAAAAAAAATGGAGGTACGATGGAAGACGTTTTAGTTCACTGTGCTTGGAATGCTCAACTAGCAGCTACAGTTGTGATTTGTAGTTGTCGCCGGGAGGCACAATGATGAATGGTTCACTCAAGTAAGCGTAGGTTAGAGGTACAGCAACCAGACCACTGCATACAGCCACGATCGATACTGTTCCGGTCCCTGCTGCTCCTACTTCTGCTCCTGCAGATGCAAATTCTTCCCACGGCACTGTTCAATGTCACACTCATCCACCCTATGTGACATAAGCATTCCACCACACACACACACACATACACATACATGCAACATACACATAGACAGACACACACACACATATAAGGCCTCAGGCGGTACGTCTATTTCCCTTTCATTATCCGCATTCACACCTACTTCCAATGTTTACACACATGCAGTACTGAACTGTTTTCATTCTTTTGACTAAGTCTGAGTCGATCACTCTTCTGCTTTTTCCTAAATTTTATCCAAATGCTTATTGAACAACAGCTAATGCTGAACAATTGCAGACAATATTCTTTTATGCGTCACTTTGATACTTGTGGAAATAGTAGTTCAGCATTGCATGTGTGCAGAGATTTCTTGCTTTGACTTCTAGGGATCATTTGACATTCTAGAACTTTCTCCAAGTAGTACTCTGCATATTGAACTGAATATCAGAGCTATCAGATAAATCATCTTCGTTTCTCAAACGAAGCACTTCTTATCGCAAATTTTTTGATTTTTGAGTGATAATCGAAAATGCTGAAGCTGAAAATGGAAGATTGTATATTAAGACTGATGCTTCGATAATAAAAATAACGTGGATGACCAATGTCCAAAGTAAGGGAACATTTCGAACGGAAAGAATCTATAGAAAACTGACGGCTATGTTTGCATTTGGTGCTGGACACTTTCCTGGGATTCTTTCTTAGGAGCGAAACTGTTGATAATTCATCGGTGGCGGAAAGAGCTGGGGAAGCTTTCAACATCTCTTCTACAACATCGATTTTGAGTATACTTTTCGCGATGTTATAAAAATACCACTGATAATGATCATTTTATACTACCAAATCTTGCATGCCTTAACTCTATTGAAAATTTTACAGCGGAATGATATATAACGATTTATGATGTTTATTTGAAAATATAAACCAGTCAAGTAGTGCAGAAATTCATATAAAATTACTTTATGATGCAAATTTTAATCGATACTTTAACACGTACAATAAATTTATTGAAATAATATGTTTTCGTATTTTATTTCATCATTGTGCCTTGGTTCATGTTCTATAAATGTTCAAAACAATATTTTGCGGGTAGAATGTTATTGTTGAAAATGTAAAATGAGATTATTTAGGGAGGAGGTTTCATTTCAGCGATGATTGTTGAAGCGAATGATGGGAACCTCTGATAAAACCATTTCATAACTAAACAGTATTGTGAATAAGATTATGTAATGCTAAAATGGAAGCATGATCAAATTTTCTCTAAAAATTGCGTAGATACTGCAATACATGACATAATCATAATTAATATACAGATATAATGTTTCAATGCACATATATTAAATGTGATATCTGGGGTGTACCTTTATAATTCATTTTATACTTATTTCCTCATATTTTTATTATGATTACGTTTATTAACTCTTAAATTCAAACGGAAAGGGAAGTATGTTTTTTTAGGAGAAATTTTCTGGCATTTCTTTTGTTTTGAAGTTTCATTTCTCAATTTATTTAGTATTCATTTGAATCTAAATAATGATTCATTAACATTTCATTAAGATCTCATTCCCTCACATCAATGATTAAGCTACTGTTTGGAACATTTTTACAAAAGGCATAAAACAATTCCGCAATGCTTCGTCATTTAAAAAATGCAATAAGTGTTTGTACTTGTTTCTATGCACAATAAGAAGCAGAAAAATTGAATTAGAATATTTAGATGCGTATATTGGAATTTAAAAATTAAAAGCATAGTTAAAGCACAACAATACGAAATTTTTTGTAAACAA